TCATCATTATATACTCTGTGTACAGTATATGTTATTTCACATGCTTATTATTGTTATCACCTATATATTACTAACACTATTTTTATGTGAATTTTAATTATTATTACTGTAATATTATTAGTGTTGTTATTGTTGCTACTGTTATGATTTCTGTATCATTATTATGTAATTGCTATGAAAAAAATAGATGTTATAACATTTAATTATTATTGAACATTAGTATTATTGTTAATATGTTAATTATTTTCATCATGATATATTGTATGTAAAATATATGTTACTTTACATGCTAACCATTTTACTACTCATTTAGGCTCAGAAGGAGCAGTACCTAAACTACAGACGTGTATACCACGACGACACTCAAGACATATTTGCAGCCAGACGTAGACAGGCAGACAAGCGTACCAAGGTACCCGTAGTGCCCACAGGGCCAGGCCTGTTCGACAACAACTCATACGCCACGGCTATAGCAATGGCAGCTGCTATGCAGTCGGCTCAGAAGCCTTCAGGTAAGTCAAGCAGGGTTCACTAATTCCAATGTTTGTTCCAATGTTATAATTCCTTATAGTCAATACTGATTTTGCACTTTTTAGATTGATGGATTACAATGGAAATCATGATTTTCCTAAATTTTTGTTACACATCTCTCTTAAAATTCAAGTACATATTGTTTGCTCATACAAGGGGATGCCATATGACATCATCATTTCCATATATGGGTGGTACACATACAAATTTGTCACATAGAAGTTAACTAAGTTTGACATGCTGTTCGGTGGTTAATTATAGATTTTATTCCTCTGCAGGTCTTGCAACTGGTGGGTTAGGATTTGGCTTTGGGGCTGGAGGTACAACAGCTACTGGAGGTGCTGGGTTTGGTGGAGCAGGACTGTTTGGATCTACAAATCCTGGCCTAGGTACCGGAGGGAGTATGATTCGACCCCTTAGTAACCAGACCACTAGTGGTTTTGGGTCTGGTTTTGGAAATGCAGCAAAAACCGGATTTGGTGGTACGGGGAACACATTTGGCACAAGCACTGGTTTTGGAACCAGCACTGGTTTTGGTAAAACATCTGGTTCAACGTTTGGCTCCTCAGGTTCATCGTTCGGTACATCTGGCTTGACACTTGGCAGTGGATTGCCCTCATCTAACAAACCGACTAACCTCTCTCTTAGTGGTAGCTTAAGCGCCGGACCAACATCTACCGGATTCCCAGGATTTGGAAGCTCTATTACGGGTAAAAAACGTGGATTTTGACAACGCCATCACATCCAGTTATAAATTACTATTTTGTATACAATGATGTCTTATTAGTGCATATGTATAGCAAATAGATATTCTTTAGTGCAGATGCATCAACCACAACATTATGCTTTTCTTAATCTACACAATAAATAAATCAAATTTTAAAAAGTACTCGGGCTATTTTACTTTCTGTTGTCATGCTGGAAAACTAATGTTTATTTTTTGGCACAGTGCCAAAATGCTAAATGAAAATGTGTGTATTTACTCCTGCATCTAAAATCTATTATCAGAAAAAATGAAAAAATGATTGATTGATTATAAAATGTTCAAATCTATGAATTTCATCAAAATGTTTTTTACATGTTTTTAAAGCCTTTGCCATTAAAAATACTTAGTCTTAGAAATATTGAGTTTCTGGCATATTTTTTTGTGCATACTTAGTTGTGATTTCAATTTCTGTATGTTACAGTGTAACTTTCTGTTTTATGCCATAGGAAACTCTGGTCGGGGAGACAACAAATTTCTGTGTAATTTTTTACAGAATATGAGACTTTCTAAACTTTGTAATCCCTAACATGTTCCTGCTTCCTCCTTGACATTTTTGATGAATTTTGGGTTACTTGCTCTTTATTGCACATAGTGCGTGCCATACCTATCTTCAATAAAAAAAAAAAAAAGCTTTTCTAATCCCTAACATATCGCTCTTTTCTGTTATTAACCCCCTTGACATCTTTGAAGGGTTCTGCAGCAGTGATGACATGTCCCTGTGCAAGATTAATTACTGGGTCATTTGATGTTAAGTGTTAAATAAGGCCCATAGCCTAAGTAACAATTAGGGGTTTGGCATCAGTGTCTATAATACACAAAGATGTCTGACAACAGCAATTGTCTACAATTTTTCTGATTCATGGTATCTCTTGTATAAAAGGTTATATAAAACCCACAAAATATCAGCTCAGGCATTTATTTACTTCTATTATATTCTGTCAGAAATATCAGAATGATAATGAATAAAAAATAATACAATTAAAATAAAACCAAGTAAAAAAAATTACCCCTGCTTAGCATTATTACCCCCCGGTCACTGGATCAAGTAAATACGGAACACATGCATTTTCTATAGTCAATGCCATTACTTTTTTTTACAACATTTTAACTTTGTAAGACCATTTCACCACACCGAGACTACAGTAGCCTGAACATTGCCTCAAGTAAATTGCAGCACAATGACAGGTCATTACAAAAGGCTTAAACGCTTTACCTAAGACTCTCCTCTTCCTCTCAAAGCCCCTGGAAACTATGACGTTTTGTTATTCCTTGTTACACAAGCTGTATTTGATTGAATTCATTCAGTTTTCGTTCAGAAAAAAATATAAAATTACACAATTGAAATGAAGACTACAATCAATAATTAATCATCTGAAGCCTTTATGGGTGGTGGGGCTGCAGAAACTTGCTTGCTGTATTATGTTTCTAATAGTATTTATTAAATTATAATGAAATTAAATGTTTCCTACTTAATATTTAAGTAGGAAACATTCAATTTAATTATAATTTTTAAAGGCCTATTGAACGGGCCCATACCAGTGCTTTTGCAGTGGCTACACACCCCGTCCAATATGCTATTGTCATGGAAATCGGCCTTCCCGTCGGGAACATCAAATCCCCGACCCCGGTCGAGACGACATTGGACCTTCTTTCGAGCATTTCCTGTACAGTGTTTAAAGAATCGGAATTGGCTAGATCTTTTCTGTTTAAAACGCGTCCTTTATTTTTTGTAATATTTAAATTAAATATAGGCCTAGTAAAATTAATAAAAAATAATGAATAAAATATTAAATGTAGGTAAAAATAAATCAAAAAGATAAAAATAAACATGAATACATAATAATATTTTTTAATTAAATGCAACCTAGGACACTTTACTGCATCTTATCTATTAAAATACAATAAATTTCGTTATTTTCCGTCCGATTAGAGGTTTCTTTAAATTTCGCGGGTTCAGAACAACAGGGAAATACTGACGTGCCATTTTAAATTTTTCTGAGAGGTTTTAACAGGCATTTTGTCCACTTAAGATCCACCAACCTCCTCACTCTGTCCTCACCACTGCTTTAATGTTATGGCCATACCAACAATATGATGATCGAATCACTGGCCAATAAGAAACTGGAAATTGTAAACGCGTACGGTACGTGTGATTGGTTGATGATAGAAACGCCCTCAACTTGCTAACCGATAGCGCTTGCTAACCGTTAGCGTATCTGGATACCGCTAACGGTTAGCGCTAACCGATCGGACGTTCTCACGCAGGTGCTAACGGTTAGCGCTAACGGTTAGCTCAGGATCTGGATACTAGGGCTCTCGTGAGAACCAGGCTTACAAATCTCCTGGATGCCTGGATGTGAAACACCTAATACATTTAGCTTTTCTCTGGTAGGCCATATTGTATTTTAGATGATTTTATATTATATTAAATACTTCGTGTGTTTTAGCTTTAGTAGTAACCGTATTATCAACAATTGTGTATATAAAGTTCATCATATAAATCACTACTTGTTTGACAGGCGAATGTCACTATCAAGGACTTGGTTGGCTAATATTGAAATCAACATCATGACCCCAGCATTGCACCAAACTATCCAAATATGGTTATTGCATCCTTGTTTTAAATTTTAGAATTTTAACTAGTCCTGTCTAATCTTTTCTTTAGCCGGGCACTGCGTCCGAGTTCAATTAGCATTGGATATAATCACATATTGCCTAATAAATCAGTGGCGTAACGACTAGTCATGCGGCCCGGGGGCGAGGAAATGCTGGGGGCCCATTGTATATCATCAAAGTATTTTCGCTCACAAAGGGATTGGTAATTTCTAGAAATAGGCCTAAATTGTTATGGCTATAATTATATAAGACTATTATATAATTGTCATGCAATGTCCAAAATATGAAGCGACTATTTAACAATAACAATCAACAAATACTGTACTTTTCACACACACATTTTAAAATTACTATTTGCGTGCAACATATTTTAATTAGGTCTACACAACTCGTCATTTGCGTACAGTATGTGCACTTCCTTTGCGTGCATAGATTACATGCTTAATCATGAATGTACAGTATTGATTCCCAATGAAGCTTTGGCAAAGATATAAAAAAATAACTCCAATCTTCTGCTAAATTTATCGTATTTCCTTAAAGTGTAATCAACCTCGTATATCTTGGCACTAGAGGACTTTTCAAGTACTAATCGTATTAAGTCCGCGCCACTGCTTTAACTTTCTCCAGGGACGTGCTAGGATTTTGAAAAGGGGAGGAGGGTGGGGAGGGGGAAGCAGTTATGTGAGGTATACGTAGGAACCCGGTGGGGTCCAGGCGGCAAATCCCCCTGGGAAGTAGGGCACTTTGAAAGTTTTTAGCACTGTCTTGAGAGGATAAAGGTAATATTATAATACACGCATCATACATAATATTTAATTAAGCAAGCCTAACGATAGTCACATAATAATTCAACAGTGGCGGATCCAGGAATTCAAAAGAGAGGTGACCCCGGAAGGGGATTTTCTGACTTAGAAACCACCCACTTCAGCCCCACCATGGTTTGGGTTGCTAAGAAAGATCGACTATTTTTTTTATTGATTTTCACAATGAAGCTTTGCCAATATAAAAAAACTCCAATCTTGTGCTAAATTTATCCTATTTCCTTAAAGTGTAGACAACCTTGTATATCTTGGCACTAGAGGAACTTTTCAAGTACTATAATCACTTTACCTTAGATTCTCCTTTTCCTCTCCAAGTCCCTGGAAGCTCCGACGTTTTATTTTTTCTTTTTACACAAGCTCTATTTGATTGAATTAAAAAAAATATATGTGTGCTGATTTACGTTTTCAGTTTTTGTTCAGAAAAAAATATTAAATTACTCAATTGAATATATGACTATATAACCTCCATCAGTAAAAGTGACTCCTTGGCCTGGGGCCCATCTATTTCAAATTCCTGGATCCGTCACCGATATAATATAATTTATCAACACAATAGCAAACATGATTAAATACGAGCAAATCTTTAAGTCCGCAAGGAAAATAGTGACCGGTGGGACCAAAAAAGGGGCCACCATTCTCGAAAGGCCACAGGGCCCCGCCCTCAGCGTTACGCCAATGACCATATAGATCTTATTAATATGTGTGTGTGTATACCATAGAAAATAAAGCTTAAAAACACTGTCTTGAAGTATGTAGGCCTACTTTAATACTTCAAAGCCGTGATTCACAACCACCTCAGCCCCACTATGGTGGGGCTGAGGTGAGAACATTTAAGGAAATATACCTCTAGATGGCTTTTGTATAGTAAAATTCATCATCATCATCATTCAAAATGAAGCGCCAACGGCATGATTTTTTTCAGAGATCTACTTAATATCCAGGACAACTTAGGCCTAACCATAGGCTACTAAGCTTTAACTATACTAATAATTATGATTTAAAAAAAAAAAAAAAAAAAAAAAAAAAAATTATTTTTCGCCTTTAGCACGATTTTTTCACTTTTTAATATTAAAATATTAATGTCTATTATCATTATCACCATTGTCATCATCATCATCATCATCATCATCATAATCGTCATCATCATTATTATTACTAGTACTAGTAGTAGTATATTAATTTAAACCTTATAAAAGCTTGCAAAAGGATGAAAACCAAAACTGAACCATACATTATAATATCTCTGTATCTTAAAAGACATGGCCTGGGATTTATGGATTTAAGACGAATTTAAGCTGATTTTTTCGTTGAGTTTGATAAATCCACCCCGAGCGGTAAAGCCGTTATATACTCCCAAATATTTTATTTTTTGGATTATAGTTTATATCGTTTATTAGTAGACGTTTATTGTGGGTTTTTATCAAGGCACGGGTCACGAACATGATATAGTAGGAGTCAATTAGAATATACAGCATTTAATTCATCACCAAAATCCGTGTTTTGTTTGATATTTTTTTGTTTTTTAGTTTTTTAGTTTTTATTTGTAATCGCATAAAAAGTGACAAGTCGTCCTCGGAGTTGACTATTACTATCACATAGCGTGGTCAACAAAATGATGTATAATATACCATGATCATTTTATATTTATTTTTTGCGTAAACAATTCACGCTTAGGCCTATGTGTATAATGTGTGCTGATGCATATTTACATATTTAGAAGTAATTCATTTTGAGTGATCCCATGAAAGAATTTGTATTGGCTAGCAAAAAAAAGCTTTAAAATACTAACACTGTGTACAAAGAGAGGGTGTGGGGGGGGGGGCTCGCACTGCTCCCCCTGGATACGTCCCTGATGCATGAG